TTCTCCTCGTCCTCCTCCTCCTCGCTCTCCTCGTTCCCCTGCTCCTCCTTCCACATCCTCGGCCTCGTCCTGCCCCACTGGGGGCGCCGAAGGCCGCAGTCTGCAGCGTCAGCGCCCAGGGCGGGTCCGTCCCGGTGCAGCCCTGCCCGGGGCGCGCGCGGCCCCAGGGGCCTGCAGGAGAGAGAGGCGAGGCAGAGCCTGCCTGGTCGTGCGAAGGTAGGATGGATATTGCACCATTGCACAGGGAAGTCGGAACGCACACACACACACACACACACACACACACACACACACACTTTACCATCGCAGCGGAGCCCAGCGGCGAGAGGGGGAAGACGACGGACGACGACGACGAGAGGAGGGAAAGGGGGGGCGAGGGAGCAGCGTCCGCGCCCGCCCAGCGCCGCCCGCCTCAGTCAGGCGGGCCAGGGCGCGCGGCCAGCCGGTCCCTGAGGACGGCGCGCCAGGCCGCCTCGTTGCCGCCAGCGCGCGCTGCTGGCAGCAACAGCAGATTCACACACACACACACACTCACACTCTCACACACACACACACACACACGGCTAGATTCACATATGCGAAACATGCGGAGGTCACTGGATGCACGTGCGGAGAACCACCGTGCACGGGCCACACGAGGTCTGCGCGCCGAAACGATCTGCGGCCATGCCATTCCACCTATCGTCCGGCCCAACCACGTCGTTAAGTCCAGCTTCCTGGCAAAGGGGGAAACAAAAACCAGGGGCCGGTAACGAAGCAGCTCAGGCAGCCGGTGTTCACGACGCCCCCCCGCGCCGGAGGCGCCCATGTAGAAAGGAAAGCGCCCTGCGGCGGGGCCGAAGCCAGCCATGCGCTCAGATTTCGCGCCCCGTTCCAAATCCCCCTTGTCGTCCAACCCGAGAGGTGGAACCCCCCTCTCAGAGATAAGACGGGCAAAGGCAAGAGGAATATCCAAGTCAGGTCGGACGAAGTCGGGAATCTGCGAGAGCGGGCAGGCCCGGAGGACGAATCGGGCGCCGCGGCAGTGTCAGAACGCTCTGGGAGCGATCCAGAACGCTCTGAGGGACCTATCTTTATCCCGGGCCTGTCTGGTGAGGAGTGGAAGGAGGGGATGCGGGGTGGGCGGAAGGAGAACTCGAGAATCGAGGAGGGAGGCTCGATGATCAAAACTTCTGGCTGCTTCTTCTCACTATTTCTGGACCTCGCGGAAGCCTCGCGTGGCCACGGCTTGATGAAAGACTACTATCTCTCTGTAGCGGCTAGATGAGAGGGAGGGGGATGGGGATGAAGAGGGACTTTCCAAAGAGCTTGCCCAATCCGATTCGGTCGCAGGGGGGGAGAAGCAGGACGATTCTGCCGGGCTCATGCGGGGTCAGATGCGATAGGGCATTCCAGGGTATCCAGGAGTCTCCATGGGCGAGGGAGCACGAGGACGGATGAGGGCCAAGGAGAAACATGACAGGAGGAAGGGGACTGTCGGAGAGTGTAGGTCTCTGGATATCCAGTGGTCTCAGGAGGCCTCCTGAGGCGTCAAGCAACACCAACATGCTGCATTAGGGTGCGCGTGTGTGGTGCATCACCGAGGGCGATCCTCCATATACTCAGGGACCGAGATTGCGAACGACGACGACGACGATGAGCGGCTGCAGGATGAGCAGGGTGAACCTGGTAGGACGGCCCGGGCCCTGACAGCACGTAGAGCTGCGGGATCGGCGGAGCCCAGCCCTCCGTCTCCTCATGTTTCCCCTCGTCCTCCTGCTCCTCGTCCTGCCTCTCCCGCTCATCCCCGCGCTTGCCCTCCCTCGCGCCCTGCTCGCGTGACACCTCCTCCGCCTGCTCGGCCTCATCCGCATCCTCGCAGTCCTCGTCCGCCATCCCCACGTCGTCGACGCCGTCATCGGTATCATTCTCGCTCTCCTCGTACACCGCACTTCCGTCGAAGTCGACGTCGACGCGCTCCTCCTCGGCCTCCTCGTCCGCCACCTCCTCTTCGTCGACGTCGTCGCCGTCCTTCGTATCGTCACCCTCCGCGTCCAATACATCGTCGTTGTCCCCCCTCCTCCTCGTACACTTCCCCCTCCTCAGTATATCCCTTTTCCTCGGATTCCTCGTCGCCCTCCAGCTCATTCTCTTCATGTGCATCGCCTTTCTGTTCCTCTTCCATACCATCCTCCCTTTCCTGCTCATCCTCCTCCCCCTCCTCCTCCTGCTCCTCCTCCTCCTCATCCCCCCCTCCCACTCCCCCTCCCCATCCTGCTCCTCCTCCTCCACCTCCTCCTCCTCCTCCTCCTACTCCTCCTCCTCCTCCTCCTCCTCCTCCTCCTCCTCTTCCTCTTTCACCCTCCTCCTCCTCCTCCTCCTCCTCCTCCTCCTCCTCCTCACCTCCCCGGACCTCCCCAGGACGGGGGTGGAAGGGGGCTGGGGGGCGGGGGAAATCTCGTATCTACTGTGCAGCTCAGGTCGGCCTCGCCTGCGACGACCACGTGCCGCTGCAGCTCCGCTGGAAGAGCTGCCTGCCCCCCGGTCGCGCGAGGGGGAGGAACGATGAGAAGAAGAGGAGGAGAGAGCGAGGAGGGGGAAAGGAGGACGAGGAGGGGGGAGGAAGAGGAGAGGGGAGGAAGAGGAGACGGAAGCGGTAAGGAGGAGTGGAGACTAGGGGGGATCGGCGTCGAAGACGACATTGGCCCCGAAAGAGTGAACGCCGCAGCATGGCATAGCATGGCGTTGGAGAGTACGGCAGAGCGTAACATGGCATAGCAGAGCAAGGCGTGGCGCTGCACTATACAACATGCTATGGCATTGCGTAGCCACGCGTTGCATACCACAGCATTTCAGAGCAAGACTGGGCATCGCATACCGGCATCGCATAGCGGACATGACGCCAAAGATGCAGCAGGAACACCTTTGAGAAGGACGACAGCACGGAAATTGAGGCCAGCGCCGAGGCGGGAGCACTGCGCAAGCTAACCAAAAGCTCGGAATTAGGCTACTGCTACAACGGGAACACTCATGTGCGGAAATGAGCACGCGGAAATGAGACCAATGCTGCAGCGGGGGAACACTGCTCAAGAACCAAGAACATGAAAATGGTGCCAATGCTGCAGCGGGGGCACATGTTCGGAACGGCCGAAAGCGTTCGGAGTGGATAAGCACGTCAGACGTATCACCTTTTGAAAACCCTGTGCGCAAAACATACGCGGAGAGGGGCACAATACTCCGAACAAGTCCTCGGGGGCGAGGGGATCGTAGTACGCATGTGGTGTAATTGCGGAGACGGGGGGGGGCGGGAGAAGAAGGTAAGACGACGAGCGGAAGCAGGGGAAGCATGACAAGGTGAAGGGTGAGGACGCAGTGATGGAAGGACAAGGGAGGGAGGAAGGAGAGAGGGCAAGGACGAGGATGGGGAAGAAAAGAAGAGGTGGAGGAACAGCAGCAGCAGGAGGAGCATGAAGCAGATCATGGTCAGGGTCTGAAAAAGGGAAGGATCTGGCGGAGGACAAAGAAGGAAGAGGAGGCATGGGGAAGGAGGGATGTAGAGAAGGAAGAGAAGCAGCAGGAAGATGAACATGAGGAGAAATTAGGCCTGGAGGCGGGGGAGGGGAGAGAAGAAGAAGAAGAAGAAGAAGAAGAAACACATGACTCAGAAGAGGAGCCACACGGTAGACCCAGTCACGGAGACAATTGGAGAGAAGAGAAAACGTGGCGGACAACGCCGCTGGGCTGATCCCGGGCCGGAGGAGTCCAAGCGAAGGCTGGGAGGACGAGAGTGGGATGGGGGGCAGGAGGGGAGGGGGAAGAGGGAGTCACCCCGCTGTAGGGAGCAAGAGGCGGGGGTGAAAGTGGAGGTCGAGTTCGGTTGGAAGAGGGGTCGAGGGCAAGTCGTAGGTGGAAGGGAAAGCCGGGGTGGACGAGGGGGTGAATGAGGCAAGGGTGGAGGTCTAGGCAGAACTGGGAGGGGAAGGCAGTAAGGGTGGAGATGAGGGATAACCTTGGAGATCAAGGTGGACGCGAAGGGGAGTGGGAAAGAATAGTGAGAAATGAGGTGGGAATGATGAAGAGGGCGGAGGAACGGCGAGGGGTGGGGAGTGGGAAGTGGGGAGGACTGCGGGCGAGAAACCCGGAAGGAGTGGCCAGGGGCGGGGAGGAGCGCCTGAGGAGGAGGTGCGGGATTATAGAGGAGTGGAGCGGAGAGGACGGCGGATGAGTGGAGGTGAAGTCTGGTGGACTGGAGCGGGAATGGGTGAGAGGAGGCGGGTGAGTGCGGAGGAGAGGCGGGAGGGTGGATTGGAGTGGGGATGGGCGGGGATGAGTCAGAGGAGTGAATGGAGTGAGGAGGAATGCGGAGGAATGCGAGAAGTGGAAAGAAGCGGACAAACACAGGAAGGAGTGGGGAAACATGTGTTGGGAAACCTGAGAAGTGAGGTATGGAGAGTTCGGGGAAACCTGTGGGAAGAAGGCGGAAGAGGCCAGATGGAATAATGTGGGCAGGGGGGGTGGGGGAAGTGGGAGGATGTTGGGCGAGGAAGGATGGGAGTAGAATTGGGAGGAATGGGGAAAAGCAGGTGGACTGAAGTGGAGTGGGAAGCATTGCTGAAAAGCGCGGAGTGCGTAAGAGTAACGAGTAGTATGGAAGAGTAGGGATGTGCGAGGGTGAATCGAATCTAATAGATTGGGGGGGCTCTGGCGCGGACCTCGCCCAAGAGAGTTTCTAAGGAGGCCTCAAGAGGATCCACGAGGGGCTCAAACACGACCCCAAGAACGGCCCCCAGAAGATTGACGGACGGACGGATGACGAGACGGGTAAACGTTGCGAGGCGGGGATTTATCCATATTCACCGCCTGGGAACCGACGTCCTGGTGCCCCAGCAGGCGGTGGATATGGATAGATTTCGGCCCTCGAGGGCCCGAAATACAGGGCAGCTGTTTCAATACATTGGGTTTTTTTGCTCAAATATAGGATTTCAATCCATGATTAATTTCTGAATGATTTCATGCATGAACCCACCGTTGTTGTTAGTGCTAAATCCCTGCATTTTAAATACATGATCAGCACGCGGACCATGCATAAAAAAAACGACAGCCGAAGCTCAGAAAACTGACCCTCCAAGCGGTGGCCATGTATAAATTACCGCCTCGGAAACGGGGACCGGTGTGGGCAAAAAGGGCACGCATGCATACACCAACGCGCGCATGCATCGATACATCCACACACCCTTGCATTTATACAGCCACGCGGCCGTGCATCAACGCACGCACACAACAACACATCCGCACCCATGCGTGCGTACGCGCAGCCACCCATACACCAACACACGTCTACATCAAAATATGAAAACCAGCAAGATATACACAAAGTCGTTCTCGTCGTCGTCGTCGTCGTCGTCGTCATCGTCCTCGTCGTCGTCGTTGTAATCGTCGTCATCGTCATCATCGGCGTCGTCATTTCTTCGTCGTCGTCGCCGTGGTCGTCCGCGTCGTCGTCGTCCGCGTCCTCGCCGTCGTCGACCATTTCGTCGTCGAATGCGTCGCCACCGTTGTCGGCGAGTAAGCGGGCGAGGAGGGGGGCGGGGAAGCTGGGATTGTGAGGGGGTCGGGAGAGGGGCGGACGACGCGGAGGACACGCGGGCCTTGACGCTCCCAGAACGCACGCGACAAGTCGGGGTTCGATGTGGACCCGCTGACACGACCGCAAGTCTGAGGGTGACAGCGGCGTCGAAAGTGGCGATGACGGAGTGTAAAGACGAGCGCGTCCGCGGATTGTGACCCCAAGCGCAGTTGTATGTTTGCTGAGACTTAAACATCAAGGCCTCGCTCGTTACGAGAGCAGCAAAGCATCACGGCCACGGCAATAGCTTTGGAAACACCAGTTTCATAATAGGAGCAGCGAACGCGTAGATCTTCAGGCGCTGAAGCAACATGGCCGCCTGCTCCTCCTGCGAGCGCTGCGGCGAATCGGCAAACAACCAGCCAACGCAATCGCAGGGAAGGTGGCACAAATCGGGGCGGACCCCTCATACAATTTGTAAACACATGCTTGTTACGGGGCACGGTCACGGGCACCGACTTGCCCTCCAGCCACGGGAGCTGGATGGCCCCAGGGAAGTCTTCTTCGATGAACACTCAATCGTCTGGCACCGCTGCCTCGGACTTCCCTGTGCCACGGAAGAGCCCCCCAGGCCATTCCTACATGCGCTATGTGCCCTCTCCGCCACGCAGTCCGTCAAGGTGACCACTGGGGCAGTTTCAGGTCGACCGTGTTTCAAGGACATGAAGGCGCGGCTGCACAGGTCGGGGGCGCCCACGCGACTCATCGACGAGCACTCGCGGACGCGGCGCAGCCAGCTGCCGCCGCAGACGCAAGGCGACCGCAGCGCCTTCTTCACCCCAGGCTTGCGGGTCTTCGCCGCGCCCTTCTTCAGAATGCGCCCGCGTTCTCCCGCGCCCAAGCCTCGTCGGCGCCCCCCTCGAGCTCGCCGCCGTTCTCGAGCGCCCACGCGACCACTTTGCGCGAGCAGAACGTCTTCGAGCACGCAGTCAGTTTCACCACTGCGCGGGGGTCGCCTGGGGAGCACCGAATCAGGGACCTTGCCGCGATCGGCCACAGGCCCGCGTCCTCGACGCGACCGGCTTCGATTTCTCGTCCTCGACCTACCCCCGCGAGGCCCCGCGCTTCGGGCGGTCGCCGCCCCCCTCGACGCCGCAGTCAGCGGCGGGCGCTCGCCCGTACTGCGCCAAACCAAGGGGGCGGAACCCAGGTTGCCCCGCGTCTCCTCGGGCGCCGCGTCGTCGCCGCACCCGACGGCCGACCGGGGCGCGACTGCAGGACCAGCGAGTCGCGAGCTGGCGCCTGCTGAGAAAGGCCCGCTCGAGGGCCAAGGACTTGCCCTTCCTATCAAAATGGAGCGCCACGCCGTAGTGGGTCCGCCGGACGCACGCCAATCGCGCATGGCTTTATCTAAACACCACCAGCTTATCCACCCCGACGGGCGCGGCTGCCTGCCGCGGGCGCCTGGCCAGCCGCGCGGGGCCGGCCCCGCGGGTCGCCGCAGCAATCCAGGAAAGCGTCGCGAACCTGTCCCCGCGCGCAGGCCGCCGGCGCATCCAGGCCCCCTTGTCAGCGCGCGGCTGCGTCGCCAAATGGGCCCCCGCGAAGCATTCCTGTTCTCCCGTTTGAGCACGTGCCTGAGGAGCGCTGTCAGCTTGCCCCGCATCCCCACGAGCCTCTGGCGCTTCTCCAGCCTGCCCCCTGAAAGCGCCGCGCCCAGGCGCGACCCAGTCGGCGGCGGCCAACCCCTTGAGCCCGCAAGCTATGGGGAGTGATCTGATGTCCGAAAAAAACCCATGGCGCCCTGGGGCTGACTGGGGGCACCCGATCATTCCATTGCAATGCTGGGCCGCCGGGGGGGACCTAGGCCACTCTCAAGAGACGTCGTTGGACAGCCCGCTGCGCCTGACGCGCGCGTCACCCACCTGGCACACGCAGCCAACCTGACGTTCGCTGCGCACCTGCTGCGCCTGGCGCACTTCACGCGCCTGGCGCACGTGGCAGACCCCAGTGAGATAAATGACAAGGCTGGTGAACCATCAATGAACCTGCTGTGAAACAAAAGTGAACCATCGTAAGAAAACGCAATGGAAACCTATTAAAGCGCAATTGTTTTCGCATTCGATTCGAGGTTCACTACGTCTTCTTACGGCGGCTCACTGCTGG